AAGCAGAACTAAGCCGATTTGTTTCGTTTTAAACTATGGATGATACTTGGATCCACCACCATAATCCCAAATTGAACCAAAACGTTCACAAAGAACTGAACTGGTTGTTCAGCTCCAAGCAGGTGAAGTCCGATCAGCAAAGAAGGTTATGGCATCAGTTTTTGGAGTGCATTGATTATCTTCAGAAAGATAAAACAATCAACTCTGAATATTGCAGCCTTTTGGATCAGCGATGAACAAATTTGTGAGAAAGACCTAGTTGCAGCACATAATTTTCTCATCAGGGCAATGCACCTGCTCACAAAGGTTTTTAACAATGACATTAAAAGGATTGCTGGAGTATCCACCGTATTTACCAGATTTGACTTCAGTCCTACCTCTTGAAACCTGAAACAAGTCCTTTGTGGAATGCGGTTTTCGTCGAATGAAGAGCTATTAAAGCCATAGACGGGTATTATGCAGAGCTTTCGGAAAATCATTATAGGGATTATAGGGATCCTAAAATTATTGGTGGATCATTGGAATTAGTATATTGAAGTTTAGTTAGATTATATACAAGCAATATGTATATATAGCGCAGAAAACTTATAGTTTTGGATATTCCCGCTCAAAGTCGAGTTGTTCATTTGCAAAATATGGGTATGGTAACACTTATTATTGGTTTGCAAGCAACCTTTTGTTATTGTGCAAATAAGTAAAATTAAAGAAAACTATAATGATAATTTGTATTTATGATTAAATAAATGTGCAAAAGCTATTTAATCATGTGTTGTGTATATAATATTGAATAATTTAAGTGTAAAATTCATAAAACATAGAAAAATTAAATACTTTAATTTGGAATTTTTGGACTTTATATCTGGAAAACTATAAATATCTTTCGGCTAAATGTATATATATTCTTAATTTGAGAGACAATCTCTATCCGCCTATACTTATCATGGACAATGCTATAGAAGCCCAGCCATGTTTTCTTAGGATTTTACATATATTTTTCACTTTATATTTACTAACACTACATTAATTCGTTTCCACACATCTATTTTATATTAATTAGTGCTAAATAACTTTAATCAATAGTTAACTTTTATTCCTATTTTTATTAACACAATAACGAAAGGGTTGCATTCTAACAAATAATCCGTGTTACCTTATCTACATATTTTACAAAGAAACCAAAAGTAAACAATAGGAAGGGCTAAGTTCGGAAGTAACCAGACATTTTATACTCTCAAAGTCAAATGGTATACTCGTTTGAGATTTCTTTGTGGATTGACTGATATTTTCGTTAGAAGGTCAACTATACCAGGGTCCACATATTTAGTACTTAGGGGCTTGAACAGTTTTGGTTCGATTTAGACAATTTTGGTCAATTGGCATACTTTAAAGCATATTTCACGCAAAGTTTTACGCCGATATAATCATTGTTGCTTGATCTGCATACTGAAAGTGAAAACATCAGATGGAATTTAAAATGCGGTTTTATGGGAAATAGGCGTGGTTGCACACCGATTTCGCCCATTTTCACACTAACATAGAAATATGAAGAATGTTATGTACCAATTTGGTTGTGGTTAAGCAGTCTCAAGATATGGGTTTCACCTAAAATGGATGTGCCACGACCACTGTCTAAAGAACGCGTTCCTATAAAGTCATCTCATACCATCCCAGAGATAAATTTAATTTTATATGGGGAGTGGGCGGGTTCACACTGTAGGTAGAGTTCTAAAAACATTTGCTTCCAGTGAATTTTGTTATTATACCTAGCGGTTTAGGAGACTTAAAAAATTTAACTGCAGATGCCTCCCAGTGGTCCGATTACACCATCTGCAATACCATCTCTCACGGTACCGAGAACATGTCTACCAAGTTTCATAAAGATATCTCAATTTTACTCAAGTTAGAGCTTGCACGGACCATTTTATTCCCGCAATCCTGGACACTTTCAAAGTTGGTAAATGTATAGTTTAGGTGCGGAAAGAGTTCGACGCGGTGGATTATGAGCACCCGATTTTGGACCAGGGGTTTTTTTTAAACCGCGGTCGAATGCCGCCAGTGCAGAAAGGAGTTACCACGCAATAGAATCTGTGCAAAGTGTGTAATTATACCCTGAACAGGGTATATTAAGTTTGCCACTGAGGCCCAAAATATATATATAAATGATCGCATGATGAGCTGAGTTGATTTAGCCATGTCCGTCTGTCTGTATATACAAACTAGTCCCTCAGTTTTAAGCTATCGATCTGAAATTTTGCACCAGTCATTTTCTCACAAAGCTGCTCATTTGTCGGAACGATATCGAACCACTAAGGCATATAGCTGTCATACAAACTGAACAATCGGAATCAAGTGTTTGTATGGGAAACTCTTTCATTTGCCGAGTTATCTTCACGAAATTAGGCACGGAATATTCTTTAAAGCAACAATTTAATCTCCGAAGAAATTATTCAAATCGGGTGACTATAGCATATAGCTGCCATTCAACTGAACAATCGGAATGATGCTTGTATGGAAAACTCTTTTTTTGACGAGGTATCTTCACGAAATTAGGCACGAGTTATCGCTTAAGGCAACAAATGGGAAAACTTTAGTTTAGCGTCCCAGATTTCAGTTTTTAATACGGATATGGTTGGATAGAGGGATTCTCAGATTATGAATATATATAATTATTGCCGCCGGAAACTTATAGTTTTCGAGATATTTGCATTTTAAGTTGAAAATTTCACAATTTATTTTACAATTTCTCGATTTATGGTTAACTTTTCTTTCATATTGCACTTATTATACACTAACACTTCACTAAAATGTTTCTACATATTTATTTTATATTAAATATTTAAATATTTGCTTTAAATAAGCATTTTATTTTACACAATTTTTGTTATATGAACAATAACAAATGGGTTCCATGTTGTCAGATAATAGTGTTGCCATATCCAAAGAATGAAAGCAATCAAAATAAATAAAAACCCAATTACCCTCTACAAAATTTATGAACTAAATTTTCCATTTTAATAAAGAAAAAGTTTTATGGCTTAAACGTATGTTTTATTGCATCAGATAATTTCACAAATGGATCATGATGCTGATTTGCCATATTTTACGCCATCATATAACGAAAATTGTGTAAAAATAAAATGCTATTTAAAGCAAATACTAAATATTTAATATAAATTAAGGGTCGGCTTTAGAATAACGTCCAGGCATTCGGGAAAAATGGGTATGGGCGGATGAGAGATCCTCCAGATCAAGAATATATATATAGATATAGCCGCGAAACTTAGTTTTCGAGATATTTACGTTTAATTGAAATTTCACTATTTAAAATATTTTGCCATTTAAAATGAATTATCACTTATATTTTCACTTTTATTCCACTAACACTTGATAATTCGTTTTAGAATTTTTTATTAGATGCTGAAAAATAGCTTTATTTCAATATTTAAATCATTCTTCAATTTTAAAACGCCAACACTTCTTCAATTTTAAAACGCCAACGCAAAAAGAAGTTCTACAAGAAAACCTAATATTGTCATAGAGGGTTTAACATAATACTTAACATCAATGCTTGGTAATAGTTTATTTCTCTAGGTTTTGGATTCTTGTATTTGGGGTATTATCTGTTTTAATTTCTTTCAGTTCAATTACGAAAGATGTCAATAAGGTAACACTAATTATTTGAAATTTTGCAACCCTTTTGTTATTGTCAGAATTAATAGAATTTAACAATAATTTTATTATTGAATTAAACTATTTTTGCACTATATAATGTAAAATAAATGTGTACAAACGAATTAGTAAAGTGTTAGTGGATATAAAAGTGGAAAATGTAAGTGTATAACTCATTTGAAATCGAAAAAATTCGTACTTTAAATAGTCGAAATTTTAAACTTTAAACCCAAATATCTCGAAAACTATAGGTTACCCGGGGCTATATCTATACATATTCTTGATCTGGAGGATCTCCTCTCTCCGCCCATACCCATTTCATCACCCGAAGCTTGGGACGTTATACTAAAGTTTTCCCTAAAATAAATATGTAGAAACATTGAAGTGAAGTGTTAGTGTATAATAAGTGCATAATATGAAAGAAAAGTTAACCATAAATCGAGAAATTGTTTCCGGCAGCAATAATTATATATATTAGTGATCTGGAGAAAATCCTATATCCAACTATACCCCTCTTAACCTTGAAATCGTGGTATGCTAAACTAAAGCCGATCCCAACAAATTATTCTCCGCAGAAATTGGTCAGATCAGATCACTATATCATATAGCTACCAAACAAATTGAACGTTCGAAATCAAGTTATTGTAAGGGTCTTTGTATTTGTGAAAGTTATTATAGCTTTGGTTCAACCGAAGTTAACGTTTTTTCTTGTTTTTTGTAATTTGAAAAATAAAAAAAATTATTGAAAATATCAACTTTCCTCTCACGGATTTGTAGTCTTTGTTGGGGGACCTAAACTATAAATTTACCAAAATCCCTTTAGATTGAAATATTTTTAACGCTAACAAAGAACCACACCGATTGATATCCAAATATTTAATTTCCATGACTACATATAAGATCTACCAAAATTAGGAGTTACCCTTATCAACAAACTTCATTTAGTATCGTTCTTTCTATTCCAAATTTAAATACACACAAAAAAGAAAACAATTTTATAAAAATAAATTTTTCTATCATTCGCGACTGACCTTGACAAAGACTTTTATACCATACAACTTAAAATTTTTTGCACTAAGAACAAATAGGATCAAAATTTCCTAATGACTGGTTACTCAAATACACAGAGTTATTTTAACCATTGCAATTGCCTAGGTTAAGAATTTTCATAAAATTTTTTCGGAATTACATACGTATTTTCAATTATTTCCTGTATAACCCGCAATATAGGCAATTACTTTTACGACATATTAGTTATACAACTAGACGGATCAAATCTGTCACCAGGTCAAAGCATATAATCCATTGATATATACAGTTGTAAAATGCACCTTTTAAAAATGTGTTTATATATATAAATTGACAATCACTAGTGTTACTCCATTAAGAAACACACTTTGCACTTATTTACCCCCCTTTTCAGTGTTCAATATCAACGTTCACTCACGATCAACTTATAATGTCGACGACCCACAAATTTTCCAATTTTACATAAAATAAAAAGTTGTGTCTGCATTTACGCACTCTTCACATACTTAGCAAAATGGCGACTTTTGAACTAACATCACAAAAAATTTATAACACATAAGGCAATAGATATAATCGATTTTGAAAAAAATCTAATTTTACTGATAGACTTATAATCGACACTTTTGAAACCGACAAATATTACTGCCAGTCTCTGCTAGCAATAGTTGTTATCTCACATTGCCAATATAGCAGAATTTAAGTAAGATTATATGAATCAATTTCTACTTATATCTCTTCTTACTAAATTGTAATTAACACAACACAAAAAGAGACATAAAAATATTTATCAGAAAATATAACGATAAAACTTTAGTATAGCATCCCCCAATTTCAACGATAAAATGGGTTTAGGCAACTAGAAAATGTTCTCCAGATCAAGATTATATAAGTTAACATTAGTTTATACAACAACTAAAATAATATATATATATATGTCAGCTAAAAAACTCAAATTCATGCCCTTCATGCCGAAATGCTTACTGCGTTCATTTGCATATAAATACCTTAATCATTATTATCACCAACAAGAGCGCATAGCAACAGCTTAACTCTTTGATGGGTGACATTCAAAAGGTGATGCAGAAAAAAATTAATAGTGTTACTGTTCCACTAGAAGTTGTAGTTGCAATCATAAAGCTGCTCACAGCAATATCACCAGAGGAGTAAGATCGCATAGGAACAGCGACATATTTCCTCTTATAAAGAAAGCCCCAAATAAATTGTTACTGCACCCATATAGAAAATGCAGCGAAATATATGTCTGGGCTTTAGCTTAATTACAAGAGATGTTAAGTAGACGTGCACATTAATAACTACGTTTTCAACTGGCGCCCAACTCAAGAAACGAGGACCTTAAAAAAACCAAAGACGTCCAAATTCTGAATCACATGACATAAGGAATCCCAAAGGACTATGATCAAACAAATTCATTATAACTAGGACTATTTAAAAATAGTGAGTGATTATTGAAAAAATTTTCAAGGGGATATCTAAACGTTTAAAAATTATATATAATAAAAGAACCTTAAGTTTGCAATAATTAAAAGATTAATAACAAAGCAAAAGATTTTGCATATTGGAGTACTATATGACTGCTTTCAAAGGAATCTAATTTCCAATTAAAATAAAGTTTTGCGTGAATTCCATTGTGTTATAACAAAGGTTTTCGGAACAAATGTTAGCGTTTAATGGAATAACCTTATATTATGTTCGCACCGAATCCTCTTGAAAACACAATTTGTGGATTGTGGAACCAAAGTCGTTCTGATCGAAATTGTGTGTTTTCGATGAGTTTTCATTGACAGTTCACATTTGTTATTTATTTATTTATTTATTTTATACGGTCATCTGATGGGTAATATGACAGTCATAGTTGAAAAAATTTTGTCAGCGCGCATAACAAAGTTTCTATCATTTTCTTAAGATCCTTGTTTTCTTTTTGTTTGTTTGTTTTGTTTTTTCTGAGTCATTGCTGACCATAAATCCGTCATAGCTGAAAATTGTCAGTTATGACTGAAACGCTATCAGAAGTGAAAAATTCTTTTGCGTAGTAGATAACATAATTTTTATTTCTTAAATAAATTTCAAACTTTTAATCAAACTAAGTTACAATAATAGACTTAAATATAAAAAGGAATGCAACAAAATATATAATAATATATGAATATATAAAAATAAATTTTCACTTGATGCTATCTCCTCCTCTCAATAGATCTTCATACGTCTTTCTCCAATCCGAATTTAAAAATTCAAACGTAAATTAACAGTGCTGACATATCAAATTTGAGTGTATTGGTGAACCCATCAGCAGTTTCTTGTAGGGTACGTTTAGGCCAATTATAAAATGTAAACAAATTGTCAACTGACATTTAGGGCTGGCAAAATATGTCTTCTAATAATACCGATTAAACTAGAGCAGGCACCGATTATAATAAGTGGAATATAAGTTTTCAAGGGGTTTTCAGCGAAAACTGTGTTTTCGTTTGACGGATTTTGTATGGATGAAAACACAAGTTTTCGCGTAAAAACCTCTTTTGTCTATGAAAACACGAATTTTGTTCGGTGCGACCATAGTGTTAGAAATAACCATAACGCATATTACTTCCGGTATTTAAATTAATTTCGTGTGAATCATAAAATTGAGAAAAAAAAAGTTGGTATACCGTCCCAGGCTTTCGGGGATAAAATGAGTATATGAGGCTGGCTAGATGAGTTACGCCTCCCCCCTCCATACACGCCACTGCGCGCCAACACACCACATCAACACGATCCACAACAGACATCACACCACTCAGACCACCCACACATACACATTACATCACACCACAACTCTACACAACTCAACACTCAAAAGGGGCTAACAGAGGACCAAATCTTGCCTTTTTCGTTAGCAATTCAAGCGATCAAGACGTGAAACTTTTCCGCCCTTTTTGCGCCCGTATATTTTTTTTATATCAGCCGTGACCGTGCCTGTTTGGTTTTTTTTGTTACGCAACAGTGGAAACAAGGTGAGTGCGTAACCGAAACAATTATTTATTGGTCCTTCGAGCCATAGTGAGCGGCACTATGGAGTGAATAAAAGAAAGAAAAAAAAAGTGCTGTGAGAAACAAAGTGTGGCTAAACGTTAAAATACACACGAAAAAAAAACGACATAAGGGCTGTGCAGTGCAGTATATATAGAAAACAAAAAAAAAACAAAAAAAAAGACATAGGTGCTGTGCAGTGCAGTGAAAAAAAACACATATATACACATACAAAAAAAAAAAAAAAAAAAAAAAAAAAAGGTTCTACATAGATAGAAGTGCAGTGCAGTGGAGTGACATACATATACACATAGAAAACAAAAAGAACAGAAGAAGGTGAGTGAAGTGAAGTGGCACAAGCATATATACATAACAAAACAAAAACAAGAGAAAGCTATAAAACCCTTCACAGGTGCATTTCTTTTAGTAACTACTATATGTATGCCTACATTTGAAAACGTGACTTGACAACGGTTTGCATCCAACGGAAAGCATTTTGCCAGTTCTTTCTAGCCAGGTTCTTTGCTATAAACAATCTTCTTTTCGAATTAAAGTTAGTTATTGAGGTAAATAGATCTTTCAGACATTTACATAAATTTTAATTTTTTAAGCTGATTGATTATTCACATTAAATTAATGGAAAACAAAACAAATTATAATATTTATAGAAATTAGAAAATATATAACATATAATAATATTTATTATTCTATAATACTTTTTGATATGATATATAAATTACAATAATTACATCTATGACTTACACTTTATATTATAATACAAACTTAAAGTTAATAATATTAAATCTAACATATATCTATATATATAATATATCTATTTTCTAAAGCTTAAAAATATTCTGTCATGGTCACTATATGGTGTTTCATATGTGATACATGAGGTCATTGCAGAATCCATGTTTGTCAATCTATTGCTGTTTCCTGTTTTGTTGTGGCGACCTTAGCCAATGAAGATTGAAATCCTAACTGTTGCAATCGAGCCTCCAAATCATCAGTTGCTGTTAGGCGACATATGTTAAAGTCACCAACTGTTCAGTTATCTGACGGATATTATTTTCCACTTGGTTTCTAAATTCCGGAAGTCTATAGCGGGGGTTCCTGTACACAAGTGATATGGAAACTGTTGAGTTGTTTACGTTTGACAGTTGGTAAACGTTTGTTGAACCGGTGTCGTTTCTTGAAAATGATCCTTCTGATAGACCTGGGCACCTATCTTGCTTGTAGTATATTATAAGGCCGTTGGCAGGGCGTCGTCGGGATGATCTTGTTTCTCCATCAAGGCGTGCAATAACACTGTAGCCTTCTATTGGGAACTCTTCTTGAGGTAAGGCTCATGTCTCGGCAAAGCACAGAATATCAGCAGAACAAATCAGCTTGTCTGATCTGATATCTTCAATATGCTTGTTAAGGCTCATTACATTTTTATAACAAATATCTAGACGTTGTTCCGATTTTTCAGTCAAAAATCTGTAGCATGTTGTCAATGCTCCTTCTGTCTTCAACCTATTAAGTTGAGTTTTAATTGGATCCTGCGGTCCAAATGGGTTTGGGGGAGAAAATGTCCCGATTATATACAATCCATTGGCACTTGTGGCTCTGCTACATCCTACATATAAAGCTGATCTGCTTACTCTACCCTCTAGATGAACAGCAACTTGTGTGTATGTTCCACCTTGACTTTTATGTATCGTGCTGAAGCCATAGCTGGAATGACCGGAAACTGTCTGCGTTCTGTGGTTATTTGCTCATTTCTCTTGTATTGGAATGATCGGACCACGCTCATGATTGGTGTCCAATCTGCATTGCGACTGTGAGGCTGCTTGGAACGTGCAAAGCTTCCAACTCTTGATTCTGCGAATTTTATCCATAGTCGCACCACTGAACTTTCAGATCTATGTGATTCGGAATCAACCTGCATTAGTTCCCCCCTAGCACCATTGACGAGACCATCACTTATGCTTATGTTGACTGTCACCATATATTTGATCGAAGTCTTGAGCTGCAATGTATAAAGCATTCCTTGTGTTTCCGATGGCTTAAAAGACTTCACAGCTTCTAAAATGTTTTCCCTCCTGCGTTCTGTTAGGGAACTTGACTTAATTGTATTCTTCGCAGTCGAAATGAACTCCTCGGTCATCGTGTTCGCCAGTTTAGTTAAATTAAAATCATTTGCTCCAGCATTTGAATAAAATAGATGGATGGCTTCGTTCGGTATCTCATTAGAGGTCTTTTCCCTGCTTTTGATTATTTGGATGTCAGCGTGTGTCATATTTCCCTCTGACATGTTATTTAAAGCGATAGCAAATGCTTGATCTTCACGCTGGCGCATTATTTCAGTGAGCTCAAAGTACCGAAATTGATCCCAAAGCGGTGCTCCTGGAATTGTACTGTAATGATCATTCCTATTCGGCGCAAATATCCATCGATCTCCTACTGGCGGCAGCTGCTTTAAGTCACCAAACACGATAATTGGTATGCCTCCAAAGTAAGCGGTGCTCTTGAAAATTTGCTTTAGCCTGCAATCTAAATATGCAAACTCCTTTGCTCCAACCATTGAAATTTCGTCAATTATAATAAGCCTAATATCTATGAGATTGGCATGAATTGTGTTTAATGTGTCACTA